TTGTGCATATGTATGTGTAGTATACTGTTTGTGGGAAGAAAATCGTTTTAGAGGAAAATTACGATGAATTGGAAAAGTTGTGTTTAATCGAGTTTAAGTGGTTTTTTAATTGATTTAACTGGACAATTTGGATAGGGACTCACAAGTCAAGGACAACCCGTAATTAACATATGCACAAACTTACCCATTACCCTGGGTGGGCATGTTTCATGATCAGGACCTGTTTGTCGTTTGAATAGATACAACGCATACATATATATTGGCTTATGTAAATATATGCTTAGAAATGTCTGGGGCAACGATTATCGACAATCGCCCAGCCGTTATATATATAGGCAAATGATATATATAATCTTATATAGAGTTAATGTGCCGCCGTAATTGGGTTAGTAACAAGATAGTACAGTTTAGTTAATAGATATCTAAACAGACATATATATATTTGTGATGCTATATTTAAATATATATATATATGTACATAGCTAGGTAAAATTGTATTCAAGTTTTGTACCTAAGTTGTATGAATTTTAGTCACAAGAGAGCTTAACTGGATTTGTTCTTTAATTCAATTCAATGAAATTGCTTTTAACGCTAAAAACTGCAACTGCTTTAAAATATTCCACCAATAAGTGTAAATAAAATCATAGATAATAATAATTAAGATAGTAGAGCGAGAGATAGAGAGAGAGAGAGTCTTTAGAACAAAGAACAATTTGTACTCACAGAATAGGACGGCAACAAAATCGGTATCCTCGATAATCTTTAGCAATATCTTGGCGTTTACCTCCTCGATGCGATCGGGCAGATCCATGGCCTCGAGCGAGGTGAGAAAATCGAGCACGCCCTCCTCATCCATGAGATCACCATCATAGATGATGGGCTCCTTTTCCCTAATGGTTTTATATATGGAGTCATTCGCTTGAATTGTGAAGTTGTTTTTGTTTGTTGTTGTTGTTGCATTTGTTTACCTGAAATAGGTGAGCGCCGGGAAGGTCTTGATGCCATATTGTTTGGCTAGTCGTTTGTCGTTAATTTTCACAAAGTCCACACCAAATGAATCGGTGTCATCGTCGATTTTTTCGAGCTCCGCTAAAACCTTATCACAGGTCACACAGCTACGCGCATCTGCAAGCAATTAAACAAATTTTTGATCATAATACACAAAGCGATTATTTTTGTCAAAGATTTCTCAGAAATCTTATAAAGATACCAACATGAATTGACGGCTAGCAACTGTCGCGTGTGACGCCAAATGCCGCAGCGATTATTCATGGCGGTACAGGATGCATCATCGGTAATGCAACTACCCCACCGCCGCCCCAACCCCCTTCCCCTCTCCCCCTTCCGCCCTGTTAACCATCATATATAGAGAGCAAGAACCGCAAATGGCATTATGGGCCCAGGCTAGTGAATGAAATGACAGCAGCAGCAGAGATTCTGCATTGGTTTCTATATTGTATGTGGTTTGCATGGCAGATATTTATATATATATATGGTATATATGGTGCATATGTTATATATATGGTTAGCTATTAATGTGTGTGCACAACTGCCAACCGCATTTTGCTAAATTAATTCATAAAAATTGATGCAGCCACTATTAGGGAAATGAATTGCCCCACACAACAAGCTCTATCCACGTGTGTGTGTGCGAGTGTGTGTGTGTGTGTGTGTGTTGGCGGCATCGGTTTTGGGTGGTTGCACGCCCCTACATTATACAATTTATAAGATGTGCAACAGTGCATCTATTCAAAAATATATAATATCATATATTTGGGTTTTTGCCCCATTTAAAAGTAAATTTTATTTCCGATTTGCGGCAGTTAAAGGCGGTTTGCGCCAGTTTAATCTATTTATTTGCATAAATACTTGAACTTCATTTGTTTAGTTTATATATGTTTTTGCGAATGGGAAAAAAACACTTTAGCGTCCGGCAGTCTGTTGCTCGATTTTATGGTTTTTTATGCGCGTCAAATACATGGAACAGATGCTGCGCCCATATTACGTATACGCAATATTTGATTTGGCTTTAATTGATTTAGTTTGTTGCTGTGTTTGGTTTTCCTTACAGTTTGCATGGATATACATATATGTTAGCTGTTAGCAATATTTTCACAACGCATTGCAATAACATTAATAGCATTTACTTGAAACAATAAACAAATTTTGTTGACTGCAAATTTGTATGGCCAATTGCATTGCCAATTTCAATGTGCTGCCATTTGCGTAGGCTATTCTTCACCCAGGCTCATCTAGAATTAATATACTTTTTACTTTTACTTGATTTATTTGCATTCACAATTTCAGTGTCAACAAGCAAAACATTTTGGAAAATTCACAATCATTGCGGACCAGTCAATGCTAAACAAAAATATATTTTCGTACATTAACTAATGCATTTGGCTAAATCTAAAATAATTTCAAGTTGATTTTTAATTAACTTGCGACATTGATAGACAATTTTTGCTCATTCGATTATAAATACATATAAATATGCGAGCCATATGAAAATGTTCCCTTGAGCGTAACAATATCCACAGTCCGAAGGTGATTAACGTTTGGAAAGCGTATTTAACATGTTTTTGGGCAGCTATTTTTAAGCTGATAAATTATAGGCATGCGGCGATTTGTTTATGCGGATTTAGCGCTCAATTTTTATATTTTTATAAGCTAACAAATTATTCAATAAAAATTTCACTGGCAAGAAAGTAAACTTTGCAATGCAATAAATTGAGGCCATTTTTTAATATAGCAAAAAAAAAACGATCTATATAGCTGGAGGGGTCTTGGCATTGATTAGCTCATTTACTGGCCAATATTTTCGTGGCATGCCTTGACTGCCAAACTGTTTGCGCCAAATCTAGAGAAGAAGCAAGAAAAACTACTCTGGCGACACACACTGTGAGATACATATTGCAGAAAGCACTAAAATAAGAAGAACAACAACGCACGGAGACGACGGCAATTTCTCACAGCCAAAGCGATTGCTGCTCATAAACAGAACGCAAAGATACCACTAGGGGGAAAAATAGAAACAAAAAAAAAAGCAAAGAAAAAAAAACGAACAGAGACTACTAGCAACAAAAAAAAAAAAAATAGAAAAGGAAAAAAAAAAAAACTAAACCGAATGAAAATCTCAAGACATTTCGTACAACGAAATTTTTCACATATTTTCACTTGTATGCGAATTTTTAGAATTTTCACTAGAGAAAATTTATATAATATGGCTTCTGTTACTATTTCGAGTCGCACGGCCATCGTGCGTTCAAGAAGATTAAATCGAATGCTAACGCAGCGTCCGGATCTCAAATCTCCTCGCCCATTACTAGGCAACTACAACAATATTGGGTGTGCGTGTGTGTGTGCGTGTGTGTGTGTGTGTGTGTACTTACACCAGAAGACGGCAACGTAATCCTTGTCGGCCAAAAGCTTCTCCAACTGCTTGGCATTGACCTCCTCGATGACGGCCTCTGGCTCAAGCGGCGCCGTCGCTGGCTGCGATCCTTTCTTGTTAGCGCAATTCACATATCCGGGAAAACTCAGTGCCAGTAATGTACACACGAGCAATGTCAGAGTTTTTAATCGCGTGAAAGTCATCTTTCGATTTCCTTCAATACGGTTCTAATCAATTACTTTGGCCTGGCCGTTGCGATTAATTTTTGTATTTAACAATTATCTTTAAGCTCTTAACTCAAACATGCGTGCGTGTATGTATTTGAAATGATATTATTATAAATATATTGATTTGATTGAAAAGTTAGCAAAAATTCGTCGTTTATTAGCGTTGTCGTTATTTAGAAATTATAATTTGATTTTTTTTTTTTTTTGAAAATAAAGGCACTATTTTTAGTTGAAAATCTTATTTCTTTTGCGTACACTAATACATATACTTTGTGCGCATATATATACAGGCAAAAATATATATAGGTTATATATGAGAAAATTAGATTATATATAAATATATATATACATATGTATATATGTATATATATTTCTATTAATTGAATGTTTTCCGCGGACTGTACTCTTTTTAGTTTTTCAATTTTGTTCCACTCCGTGCAGAGGTCCGCTCGCAACTGAAAGTCTTTTGGTGAACATTCTATGCCAATCAAGAGGCCTAGTCAAGCTTTAGGGATCTTATATTTCGGGCATTTTAGCTTTTTGCCATAGCTTTCGGAATGAGCGATAGAGCGCCAAATGGACCGCTGCATGATCGCGGTAAAAGTGTGGTGAAATTTGGGAAAACGAGCGAGAATTGTTCACTTCATCTGCTTTACGTTGCAATTCTTTGTTTATGCATCTCGACAACTAAATATATATAGAGACGCTCGGTGGTCTTACGAAACTTCCTGTAAAAACAAAACTGGCAAAGTACCTATGTATGTTGCCTGTACTGTATATACAACAAGAAGGAAAGTATAAAAAGCAATTGTGAAATGCGTAAATGTATTTAAATCACAACAGCTGCGCGCACATGGCCGCTCATGTGAAGCAAAACAAAATCATAATTTTTGATTTATAAATGCAAATGATGAGTTCAATATAATTCTTAGCTAAGATTTATTGCAACTGCAAAAGCAATGTACGTCAAAGCAAAATAGATAGATAAATCAAATGTTATCACAGAAAAAAGTACAATAGAAAGTGAGGTTAAGTGATTTTAAAAGGCGTTTTTAATAACGGTTATGTGTAACGAACAATATTTTAATTATAAGTAATAAATGTCTGATTTTATTTGTTTTCAATACTCTTATAGCTACTAGTTATAACATTTATTATATCTTGTAAAAATCGTCTCAAATTTCTTGTTTGAAGCGTTTTTGCTTGTCAAGTAAAAATAACTGCCAAATAATTTTTAAATTGCAATTATCGATACCAGCGCAGAATCGTTAATTTGAAAAGTCGATATACAGCTATCGATACTGTTTGGTGAGCGTGTATGTAGACAATGTGATATATTTTCGCTTTCAATATTCGGTCACACTGCACACATATCTCCTAAATATTGTTAGAGGAAGACGTCTCGTCGTAGAGCTCTATTCCGTCAATTAATAGTTTCGGCCGCAAATGCAAGTGCAAATCACCAACTACCAAACGTTGGTATGCGTAGTGCATGCTAAATTTATAGTAAAAACAATAAGTGTCTCAGCGCGTTAAGAAAAAACGAAAGGAACACTCCAACCAGTCTAAAGATAACGCGCGTCTGTTGGAACCGTATAAAAATCGATTCGAATTTGTTAAATTTCAGGTAAAGTGCAAATCGATGAATGCAAAGTGCATTGATTTTACGTGTTTTACATATATTTCGAAAAAAAACTGTCCAAATGTGCACATATAAATGGTTCACCTTGAACTCGAAGGCATTGCAGAGACGCCCCAGCCACAGACAGCCGCGCATACCAAAGCAATAAATACCAAAACAAATTATCTTCTTTTTTTTGTTGCGATTTCTTCGATTTGCAGTCCATTGCTGTTTTGTATGTGCATAAAAACATATTTGTTGACTAGCGCAGAATATTGACATTGATAAGCGCAGCTATTCTTCGGCTGTAAGCTTTTTATTGCATTTCAATGTGAAGGTGAAAGTTATCAGCTGCTTGCAACGCTTTGGCAAATGTAATTTTGTTATTGTTTTGCACCTGGCCATGGCAACATTTGTATACTCTATCTTTTTGGCTAATGATGCCTAATGAGTGTATTCAAATAATGCGTGTGTGTGTATTCGAATGAGTGGCCAAATCCGACAGCGCTGTCAAAAGTTAGGCAGAATTCGTGAATTTTTATAGGGTATATGGTATTATAATCTGGTCCCCCAGTTCGTAGCACATTATATAATATGTATATGTAGATGTAGATGCATGTGTAGATGTATATGTATATATATTTTTGAACCGAGTCGATATACTCAGCAATTAGAATCCTTAGTATGCTCCACCGTGTAGCCATAATCTTATTAGCATCGAAATAATATATCATATAGCTGTTATAGAAACAATAATTGTTATGATAAAGTGTCCCAAATATATCCCACAGCAGCTTTATGCCCGCAAGTGTATTGAATGTTCGCCCAGAACTTTGCTTTCTTGTTTGTTTATAATCATATCCGGCACCAGTTGTTTATATCATTATACTTACATTGTTGCAATTCAATTGCAAGGGTATTTGATATTTGAAGCACAAGCAAATGTTTTATTTTTATAAGAAATGCCCAGGGCCTTTATCAGAAGCCTGCCACCAAAGCCATTTATCATTAAATGCAGAAATTTAAAGATATCATTTACTTCTTGTTAAGTAGAACGTGTGCTTAAGCCCGGCTTGTTTACTTAGAAACCCGTTTCAAATATAAACATAGCTGCAGCTGTTTAAAATCGTTAGTTTATTGAACAAAATAAAGTTTTATTATAGAAAAAATACCCTACATGGCTTTATAAGGGAAACTGTAGGAAAAACCCGCTCATTGTTCAGTCAGAATTCAATTGTTGAGCCAGCAAGAGCTGCTGGTACAACTAATTTATCAAGAATTGAATTAAAATCTTTATCTTGCTCAATTTGCAGCAGGGCGCATGACAATTTAGCGGCTTGTATGTCATTATTACTATGAAATTGGATGAAATTGTCGCATGGTAAGCAATTGCATCACATCAATTTGACACACTTTTGATGAACTAATGTTTTTGTTTGTAGGTACCAGAAACGAATCGGCACCTATGATAAACAAGAATGGGAGAAAACAGTCGAGCAGCGCATTTTGGATGGCTTCAATAGCATCAATTTGAAGAACACCAAACTCAAGACAGAACTCATCGATGTAGATCTGGTGCGAGGTGCGTTAGCCTATGCAATACCCTGTAAAGCATTGATTCATGTTATTAATTCTTTATTGTTTTAAACAGGCTCCACATTTCCCAAAGCAAAACCAAAACAAACTCTGCTCACTGTCATACGTTTGGCTATTCTGCGCTACCTTTTGCTGCCCCTCTACGCACAATGGTGGGTCAAGCAGACGACTCCCAATGCCTTTGGCTTTATACTCTGCCTGTACGTCACACAACTGATCAATTGGGCCATATACATCATGCACAGCAATCGCCTGGCGCCGCTGGTCTACGATCGGGAAACAAATACAACTGTTGTCGATGATGTGGCCACGGCTGCCGTCGATGATAAGCAGCATTCGGAGGAGAGTGCCGATCTGCTTAGTGCGCTGCTAATACCCTGTGCGCTGAGCTTGTTGATTAGTTTAATACACTCGCAGATTGTGGCAACAAATACGTCGCCGAGCGGCAGCAACAAGAACAAATTGCGTCGCTTTTCCATGTGCGCTTTTGGCGAGAAACAGAATGCGCCCAGAGAGCAGCGATTGCGGCGACGCAAAAAGTTTGTTCGGCAAGTAGAGCATATAACTAACTATAATCGCACCCTAACTAATGATAAATTTGTTACACAGCCTGCGCCAAGCCGAAACGGATATTTCTCAGCCCAGCAGCAATCATTCATTGAGCGCGCGACGGAGCAAACTGACTCCCCTGAACACCGAAGCCAACTCAGAGTTAATGCCCTGCAATTGCAGCCCTTTGCCCAGCGAGGAGACCTTCCCAACCACAACTGCCATAACCATACATCATCATCAAGCGGCTGCAGCGGATAGCACAACGGTCAGCGAGCCGCTGTACGATCTCAGACAGGTGGCAAATGCTGCACCTGACAGTCCGCATAAAAAGCGCAATGTCAATTGGCATACGCCCATCCAAATCTATGCCACATTCGATCAGAACGAGCTGCCCTCGTCCAGTATTGAGCTGAGCAACGGACCAGCGTCGAGTGGCGCATGCTTGGATCCCAACTACAGAGCACGTCGCAGTATTGGCGAAGACGATGGCTTCGAGAGCCTGAACAATAAAAGCTCCAGTGGCGAGGATAACAATCATTCTCCCAATGTTACCAATGTTGGTAGTGCCAGCACCACAACCACTGTCATCTCACCGCCCCCTACACATCTGCGCCTGCGCCTAAATGTGGGCGGCAGCAACCAGACCAACGGCGGCGGAAGCACCAATGCGCCGTCAACTGAAAAAATTACACATGAATCCACGAGCAGCTGTGCAGAGTCCGATGAATGTGACGATGCGGATATTATATCCAGTCCCGCATCGGCTGGCACACAAGAATGCAATACATCAGCCACCGATTGGCTGGGCGTGACCACCAACAGTGAGGATTGCAGCTATACATCCGAGTTGGATCAATCGGATGGCGGCTATAAGCATCAGCCATGCAGCGACGAGGAGATCCCCGACCTGGACATAACACCCACAACCATACTCAATCCGCACAGCAGCATGGATCGCAGTAAGTTGTGTCCCAATTGAATGACTGATTGATTGTACAGTAAAACCGAAAATACATGAATGACCCAGTTCAATTTATTTTTGGTCAAACTGAAATTATTTTTATAAAATTAATTAAAATACCATTATTATCTGCTAGATTGATTTATTTGAATTTCTTATCGCCATCTCTTCACCCCAGTTAGCTGCACCATTTGGGATCAACGCGATGCGAAAAAGGCGCAAATGTCTGTGCTGGAGATAGCCTCCTGTATTATTGAGCGCGTCGATTCGCTGGGCGTGACCAATGATTACATCTACATAGGCGTCTTTTTCTCATTCCTACTGACGCTGATACCCACGTTCTGTCGGCTATGCGAGGTACGTGCTGGGCATGGTAAAGCGTCTTCGTGCTTAATTAAACCTGTACTTGCAGATCACAATTGATGCGGATAAGGCCAGCGAGATAAGCTATTTCTATATGCCGCAGCTGTTGTGGGAGAAGTCATCGTCCTCGTTTTTTACACTCTTGGGCTTTGCGTTTGGCGAGGCGCAATGGGAGCGAACCGTGTTGGCGTTGGGCTTTGTGCAGCGCCTGTGCCTGACACTTATATTGTTTATGATATTTGCTGTGGCGGAGCGCACCTTTAAGCAGCGGTAAACTGAAGCGTTATTTATATAATTATCGCACGTTTTCACATACACTCGTTTTTTTGTAGTTTTTTGTATGCCAAGCTATTTTCACATCTGACTTCCTCACGTCGCGCCCGCAAGTCGAATCTGCCCCACTTTCGGCTCAACAAGGTGCGCAACATCAAGACCTGGCTGAGCGTGCGCTCCTACTTAAAGGTAGACCCATATTGCACACCTTGAACCGAATCATATCTTAACTAAATACGAACTTGAATGTCCTACAGAAACGGGGTCCGCAGCGTTCGGTGGATATCATTGTATCGGCCGCATTTATAGTCACCCTGCTGCTGCTGGCCTTTCTCAGCGTTGAGTGGCTCAAGGATTCGGTGAATTTGCACACACATTTGACACTGGAGGCGCTCATTTGGTCCATTACCATTGGCATCTATTTGCTGCGCTTCATGACCCTCGGTCAGAAGATACAGCATAAATATCGAAGCGTATCGGTGCTGATCACCGAGCAAATCAATTTGTATTTGCAAATCGAACAAAAACCTAAGAAGAAGGAGGAATTAATGGTCTCAAATAGTGTGCTAAAATTGGCCGCTGATCTATTAAAGGAGCTCGAAACGCCATTCAAGATCTCAGGCCTCAGTGCCAATCCATATCTTTTCACAACCATCAAGGTGGTCATCCTATCGGCGCTATCGGGCGTGCTAAGCGAGGTGCTGGGCTTTAAATTGAAGCTACACAAAATTAAAATTAAGTAAGCCAAAAAAAAAAAAAAACAATAGTAATCCAATAAAAATATCACACACGGAAGTACAGAATAGAGCGGATGCGACGGCCCGGGCGTATGTTATATTTTTGTAGTACAATTTTTTGGAAAAAATCTACAATATCTAAATTAACTACATATAGATTATATATACACACATACATTATATTTTAAAGAAAACATTTTCAATAGCTAATAAATTAAGTAAGCGAATGTTTATGTTTTGTCATGTGATTGTTTAGCAGCGTTAACTACTTAACTTATTATTATATTACAACTATTAGTGGTGTTTTAACAGATATCCTATTTATATATATATATATGTTAACATGAACGTATCTGATAGACATTAGAGCGCCGTGCACAATCACGTTTAACATGTTCGCAGAACCTTTTAGCATAGCAACTTATCTATACCTATATATACCATCTATTAATGAAATATTAATGAATGTATGTCGTTTTCCTAATTGTTGTATGAGAAAAATGCGTTATCACAAGTTCAATTCAAAAATTAATAACTAAAATAGTGCGTTGCAGCTAATAAAATTTACCAAAGTCCAAAAAGTTCTTGTGTGAAAAACTATTTATTAACAGCTCATGTAAATATGATGTGGAAGAGTATTAAAGTATTCCCTTTTGCTTATATACTTTTGCTCGTCTGATTAGCTTATCAAATTTAAGCAATTCACTAGCTTGAGCATTTTAACAACAGATGGCGCTGCTCGCACTTTGACAGCTGATCGTGTTCGGGAGTGTGACCAGAGCTTGCACACACACGCCGCCACACCTGACGTAACAGCGCTTTGCCATTTTCTCTGATCTTTAAACTCGACAAATTCCACTTATTTATTGCATTTAAAAAAAATAAACCTCTCCACCGCCATAAACAATGCTGAAGCTCCCGTTGACTCAAATGCTGCGGCATTCCATGGCCAACCAGCTGTTGCGCAGCCAAACGCGTCTATTGCACCTGGGCGAGGCGAATGTGCTGAGCAGCGACATTGATAAGCAATCGGCCGTGTACAAGGTATAAACAGGTGTTTTATTTATGCAGAACTAGCTACATATACTCTACACTCTATATTCGACAGGATAATGCCAACGAGATGAGCAAGCTGGTCGCACAGTTGCGTCAGCTGACCAGCCAGGTGTTAACAGGTGGCGGCGCCAAGGCCATCGAGCGTCACACATCGCGCGGCAAGCTGCTGGCACGCGAGCGCATCAACCTGCTGCTGGACAAGGGCTCACCCTTCCTGGAGCTTAGCACGCTCGCTGGGCATGAGCTCTACGGCGATGAGCTGGTCAATTCGGGCGGCATTGTCACCGGCGTGGGACGTGTGTGCGGGTTAGTCTCCAATATCCACACTTTCACAATTGTTTAATTAGCTTCTCATGCTGACAGCACCGAGTGCGTTGTGGTGGCCAATGATGCGACGGTCAAGGGCGGCAGCTATTATCCTATCACCGTAAAGAAGCATTTGCGAGCACAGGAAATTGCCCAGGAGAATCGCTTGCCCTGCATTTATCTGGTCGACTCCGGCGGTGCAAATTTGCCGCGCCAGGCGGAGGTGTTTCCCGACAAGCTGCACTTCGGTCGCATTTTCTACAATCAGGCGAACATGTCGGCGCAGGGCATACCACAGATTGCCGTTGTCATGGGCAGCTGCACAGCCGGCGGCGCCTATGTGCCTGCGATGGCCGATGAGAGCATCATTGTGAAGCGCCAGGGCACCATCTTTTTGGCCGGACCGCCGCTGGTCAAGGCGGCAACAGGCGAGGAGGTGTCTGCCGAGGATTTGGGTGGTGCCGATCTGCATTGCAAGACCTCCGGCGTAACGGATCATTACGCGGTGGATGATGAGCATGCGTTGTACCTGGCCCGCCAGATAGTCAGCAATTTGAATCTGGATGCAACTAATGCGTACAACGACCAGCTTCAGCACTCCAGCCAGCAAAACTTTCGTGTGGCCACGCCGGCTACTGCGGGCGCTGTGGAGGAGCCGCTCTACGACCCCAGCGAACTTTATGGCATTGTCGGTCCCAATCTGACCAAGAGCTTCGATGTGCGCGATGTGATTGCACGCATTGTCGATGGCAGCCGCTTCACGGAGTTCAAGAAACTCTACGGCGAGACATTGGTCTGTGGCTTTGCCAAGCTCTATGGCCGCACCGTCGGCATTGTGGGCAACAATGGTGTGCTCTTTTCGGAGAGTGCACTGAAGGGCGCACATTTCATACAGCTGTGCGCGCAGCGAAAAATACCGCTTGTCTTCCTGCAAAATATAACGGGTGAGTTGTTTCATCTAAATCGGGATCTTTTAGCAGCATGATTTGTTCCCCTACAGGCTTCATGGTGGGACGCGATGCAGAGGCCAACGGCATTGCCAAGAATGGCGCCAAAATGGTCACAGCCGTGGCCTGTGCCAATGTACCCAAATTTACGGTTATTATTGGCGGATCCTATGGAGCTGGCAATTATGGCATGTGTGGACGCGCCTATTCGCCGAGGTTCCTCTACATGTGGCCCAATTCGCGCATCTCTGTTATGGGCGGCGCCCAGGCAGCTAATGTGTTGGCCCAGATCACAGAGGATCAGCGAAAACGGGCTGGCAAGGATTTCAGCGAGGCGGAGGCGCAGAAAATTAAAACGCCCATTGTGGAAATGTTTGAACGCGAGGGTTCGCCCTACTACAGCACGGCACGTTTGTGGGATGATGGCATCATTGATCCGGCGAATACCCGACAAGTGTTGGGCCTTAGCCTAAAGGCAGCTCTTAATAACGCCGGACATGACACAAAGTTTGGCGTTTTCCGCATGTAGAAAAAACATGATATCAAGCTATGAAGGGAGAATTTGTGCATTTGTGGCCATTTAATGTTCAAAATTGTTGTAACTGTTGCATTTATTAGTGTTAAGTGAAATGTTTTCCTTGTAAATTTGTCATATTTTATATAAAAAAAAAAAAAAACAAGGGCATGGCCCAAGTTTTTCAAATTTAAATAAACCGAGACCAAAACTGAACATTCAAAATGTTGACGTATCGATTAATCGATATTGATGCCGCTTAAATAACAGGGGGACGCGGACGCTTAACAGCGTGTTAACATGCGCATTACATTTGCTTGCATTGTCAACACTAAACAAAATTGCTTTCGCAACACTAGGGCGAGCAGTCGACAACACTACGTGAAAACGGTTCGTCATAGAATTTGGGTTCCCTTTGTCATTAATATCGTTGAAATAATAAAAAGTACGGTTTAAATTCTAACAGCGACCACAAAAATTGTAATTAAATAGGTGAGTGCACAAAAAGTCAGGGAAGTGAAACAGCGGCATAGCACATATCCAAGTGTATATATATATATAAATGTGTTTCTGTGTGTGCGTGATGGTGAATGTTGCGGCTAAGGCGGCTCTTTCTCTGCGTTTTTTTAGCTCCATCTTGAGTGTGTGCATGGCAAAATCTAGAAGTAGCGTCAGCAGAAAAGAAAGTTCAACGGCAAAAAAATGCGAGAGTTGCGCGTGTATGTGGCGATTTTAAAATAGCCTTGCCGAAAACTTCAAGTGCACACTTGAGCGCAAAAGTAGGAGAAAATATCTGTACATGATGCGCAACGCTGCAGCTGTATGTGTGTGTGAGACTCGAGTCACACACACACATCCCTGTTGTACGCATTTAAATGTCGCCCGTGTGTTGCAGGCGTCTGTGCGTCTTTTGTGTGTGTGCGTGTGCGCCCAAAAATAAAATGTGTGCGTGTTGCTGCCTGTTACCATGTGTGTGTGTGTGTGAGTGTGTGTGTATGTGGCTTCTGCCTGCTGTGCGCTTGCAACAGGAACAGCCATAAAAATTCCACTGCCGCATTGCAATTACAAATCGTCAGGCCTTTGCGGCTAATCTGTCGAGTAGATGCCGTTACCGTCTTTTTTATTTTGCCACTTAACATTTCTACCTGCCGCAAGCGAATTGCATTTTAAGCCTGACGAGTGTTGCCACATCTTTTTTTTTGTTTGCATTTCCTGTGCTCAGGTGTTGCTTTTGTTTTAGTATCTGCCAATTCCAATTTATTTGCATGACGTCATCGCCTGTGTGTCAACTCGTTATGTGGTCTATCTGTCAACCCCCGCACATTGTTGTCCAATCGCATGTGTGTGCGTGCGTGTGTCTTACTGATAGTTGTTCAGGTTCGAACGCCTTGGCTTGTTGTCTTTTAGCTGGCTACTATTTTTTTTTTTAATTTTATTGGCTTCATTAAAATTGCTGAGCTAGCGGCTTTGACGCGAACGCCAACGCCGACGCTCTCACAAAACTCGCCGGCTTTTTCACACATTCACAGATCAGTTCGAAGCGCGCAGAGGTTCACACACACACGCACACACACAAACGAACATGTGTGCGTGTGCCTAGGTGGGGTATGCAGCTAACAGCTTTTGCTTTCATGACCAAAGATCGATACATAATTATGACAAGCGCTTGCCGATAATCGATGCCGATAATTATATCGTGCTGGCCATTAGTAAAGTAGTTGAAATATGTATCGCAGACTCAGCCTATGAGTAGTTCGCTCTGTGTTGTAGTTGCGTTTAATTAGTTGGCAACGACGTGCCGTTTGCCACAACTTCCGCTGCAACTCACGCACGCACACACAGACGCGCACACTTCAATCAAACACCCCCGCGCGCATGCACACACACTTATCCGTCAGCCATCGACAAACGGCAAACAAAACAAATCCCCCGTAATGAGTTTTCAACTTGTTGTGTATTTGGGGCAGTTTTGCCTGCCATAGTTGGCGCACTTCAATCAATAAACAACAACAACAACAACTGCAACAATACGGAACACAGCTGAAGGAAAAAAACACGAGTTGCCGCAGATGAAATACCCTTGCAGACATATAACAGATGTGAGGAATAGTTATATAGCTAACATTTTCCTTGCAAAAATTATATTTTATAGAAAGTGAAGGATGGCAATACAAGATATATTATATGCTGATTGTTTCTATATTCTATCTGTATCTATATTACTCCGATGTTGGTTAGATTTGTCCTTCATTTAAGGCGCTTGGTTAAGCTGGTCATAATAAGACAGTTTGGTTAAGAAATAGTTCTTAAAACAAGAACTTGCTCCTATGATATAGGGATCCAGCCTATACATATGTAGCTATAAATCGACTTGTTTGTTAATATTGTTCACGAATGTGTATACTTACTTTATGGGCCTCGGAGATGTCTCCTATGCGTTACACACACTTTGTGACAATAATATAATGCCTCTTGTGAGGGTATTGTAACTCGCATTTGTATTAAGTTCCGGCAGTTGCTCCAACTTCAGTTTATATCGCAGCGCGCGCCCTTTTTTTCGGGTTCAATGCACTTGCCACACTAAGCTACAACGTGGCGAAATTTCCACACACACAGAGAGAGAGAGAAAGAGAGAGACACATTCACTTGGAACTATGGCCTGATATTTATAGGCACATTTCGGTGGCGTCCAACCAAATGCCGGCTGAATCAATTTTCTTTATCAACGTGTGCTCCTTCTCTGTGTGGCCCACGTTGCGGCATTGGTCATGTTTTTCTTTATTTTCTGCTCTTGATAATGCCAAATGCCTAAAATGCTGTGCCTGATGCTGTTGCCGCTGCTGCAGCCGTTGACTAAGAGCTCTGCTCTGCTCAAGCAGCATCAAGAGCGTCGGCAGCGAACCGTTGACAAACCGCCGCCCAACGGCAGCAGCCGCCGCAGCAGCAGCAATCGCTGCAGTAGCAATCGCAGTCGCAGCCGCAGTCCAAGTTCATTGTTCGTTGGCTCCAGTCTCGCACGGATTGCGCTGCTATCGCCACATTTTACTTGTGCGTTGTTGTTTTTTTAATTCCGTTTGTTGTACTTTACTTGTTTTTTTTTTTCATTCCAATTTTAAATTTGCCTCATTGTGTCTTGGCGGGCGCGTTTGCATTTTACGCTCTCTTAAGTTTTCTGAAGCTTAGAAGCGTCTCAAGAAGAAAACAAAAAATGGTTATCTGCAATTACATGAAGTAGTGCGTTTTGACGGAAGTTTTTGTCTACGCAAATTGTGACAACGGGTCATATTCAAAAGTTATATAAATATACCACTTTAAAACTAATTTTCGTAATGCAACTGAGGCCTGTGTACAGGGTATTTGCTAGCTGTGTAATCTGGACCTATGCAATTTCTTAACTCTCTTTAACGCCCTTAACTATAATCATATATGCCGTTCTTTTCCCCTGTTTCTCACTTTCTCATCTTAAAAGGAGGAAGCGAGAAAAAGCTTTCGACAGCTCGCTATCTCAGTTTTTCAATCAATCGTTTTTAATTCCTTAAATATATCGCCCTTCTGTGCGATTCTCTTGCGCAGTTCTTTTCAAACACTCGGTAATTCCTTTCTTAAATATCGCCGCTCTGCGCGTTTCTCAGGAATTCAAGTAAGGCTTGCAGATGTTGTTGTTTATATAATATGTCAATTTTAAAAGTTTTGTTTTGCTCATAAGAAAATCTTAATCTTCTGTATTTATAATACAAAGTCCTGTTGGGTACAAACTTTTGCCTAGAACAGACCTGCTAGGTATAAACTATCTCCTAGTCGAACAACAAATTAAATGATATGTGTTTGTAAACACAGCAGGTTTTGATAAGATTCCATATTCTGTAGTTTACCACCCAATTATTACTTTAGATTATTTTCAAGCATGTGGTAAGAAATAGTTTTCGATTAGTTCATTTATGGGGCGCTTCCCCCTTATCGATTGATCGTTGATATCTCTTAAGACTATAAATTTAATAGTCACGATAATAGGCAGCTGTATAAACATGGTATGCACATAATTAGCATAATAAAACAATTTATTTAAAGTAGTTTGAAGCTCTGCGCTAAGCTGAGTGGGTGTTGGATCATGTTTGGAGTAGGCCCTGATCTTGACTTCTTCTGGTTTATTCAAAAGTGTTGTTTCAATTCTATCATAACTAAACGTAACTAAACGAAAATTTTGAAAAAAAAAAATTTAGTTAAAAAACAAAACAAGAAGTTTATCAAGAATTATAACAAGAAATAACAACAAATATAATGTATAACCGTATGTACAGAACCACATAATTGCCTTAACAATCGAAAGAAAAACCCAATCAGTTAGAAAAACTTACTCACCGCATCTTGCGCATAGTTGAATTCCAAATGGGCAATTAGTTGAAAACATTTGGCAATCTAGCGAATAAACAATTAAAAGGAAAAGGCAGCGGACAACTTTCATGATGTACACACATGTATATATATGTCTGACTCTCGTGCCAATAACAATCAACTGCATGCCACATGCTGCATGCCGCATGCATTTGATAGTTGTTTTCTGTGTGTGATTATCATGATCTTGATATTGAAGGCACGGCACGCACATGTGCGACGCTTCAATGCACACACTCACAAAATCTGGAACAATTATAAGCCCAACCATAATTAACAGCTTTAGCCACACCCACACACCTTGCCTCCTTATTTGTATTTTTCTGTTTTTTATTAAATGAATTTTGTTCATTCGTGTTGTTGTTTTGCAGCAACGAGCAACAAGAGAGCAGACTTCAGAGATATGGCTGTTAACGTATACTCCACAAATGTGACGTCAGAGAATCTGTCCCGTCACGATATGCTGGCCTGGGTGAACGATTGCCTGCAATCGCAATTCTCCAAAATTGAGGAACTTTGCACGGGTAAGTCTCACCTTCCGAAGCGTTTAATGTTCAGCTGCGTTATATATTTATAATTGTCCATATTTAGGCGCCGCTTACTGTCAGTTCATGGACATGTTGTTCCCAAATTCAGTGCCCGTCAAGCGTGTCAAATTCCGCACAAATCTGGAGCATGAATACATACAGAACTTCAAGATCTTACAGGCGGGCTTTAAAAAGATGTCGGTCGATAAGGTAAAAATTGTATATGCCGCTAGCTATCGCATCTATTTTATTTTAGTAACTCCTTCAATTTAATTTAATTTGTTTTATGCTTGAGTTCAAGTTATTTCTCTATAACTTACATTTTTTTTTGCACACGTACAAATATTTTTGATAATTGAATAGCTCAGCGCTGTGTGTGTTGTGATGAACCTTTTGTGCACACATTGATTATAATATTTGCTTAAAACATTAACGTGTTAATGGCATTAAAAATATGTTTATAATTTGTAGTCTCCTCGACGATAGAGCAATCCAATTGTGTGATCCCTTAGTTTCTAGACTAAACTTCATTGTTGAAGACGGTAAAAAGTTGTTGTTTTACTGTAACAAATGGTTGTTATATAAATAAGCCTGTAATGATTCAATATTTGTACTAAACATTTGAATATTTTTAAAGCAGGGGCTCGAATACTACGAATAATATAATATTGATAATAATGATGAATGTCATCACATTTGCTGCAAGCAATTAAATTAATTTTAAATTTAATTTTTATTATCAAAGTTTGTTGGGAGTTCTTAGAGGGTTTGGGCTTGCGAGAAGTTTTATGTACACTGTTTTAAAGCTTAATTTTGATATTGTGCGTAACTAACTGACATTTCCGTTACAAATCAACAACAACTGCTGGCAAACAATCACAACAACAATATCAACAACCACAACGTCAAAAACAACAACAACAAAAGATAATACCAGTTGATAAGCTTATTAAGGGACGTTTCCAAGACAATTTTGAATTCCTGCAATGGTTCAAGAAGTTTTTCGATGCCAATTATGATGGACGTGAATATGATCCATTGGCGCAACGTAACGGCATCAAGCTGGGCAACGGAGGCAGCCATACGGGCAGCGGTGTGGGCAGCAGCAGCACCGAGCTGCATACGATGCACCGCCGGCCACAGCAGCAGCAGCAACAGGGGCATCATCATCAGCAGCAGCCGCTACACCACCACCACCAGTCGGCGGTGAATAATGGTCGCACTGCAGCAATACGCAACCAAACTGGTATGGGCTCCATGAAGAACATTGCGGAAGAATATGAGATTGTTAATGATGTTAAAAAAGAAGCTGGTGACGGTGATAGTCGCTGTATGCGAGTGTTATTTGTTTTCTATCATTTTATAATCTGTGTCTGGGCAAAAAAAAAAATCAAACCAAAAAGCGAACGTGAAGCACGCGGAAGCGTAAACCAAACCCCAAAAACGACGCATACCACAAAAAGGCACACACAGAAATACACAAACACACCACAATACATTGACATATGGTTGTGCACACACACACACACACATCCTGGCACTCAACACACACGCACACACAGAACCAAACAAAACACAACACACACCCGCAAACACATCGTCTCTTGAGTTGTTTGTTAGTCTCTTGTTTTAGTGTGCACATTTTTCTCATATATGTAATTTGATCGCATTTTTTTTGTTGTTCTCTTTTATTTTTTGGTTAATTTTCTTTTCGTTTTAAATTTAATCTGTTCTGTTTAAAACTGTCGCATACTCCTGTTCTTGGTTGTTTATTCCTCATTCCATTCAAGTACACTGCATATTATTCTCTTTCTCTCACTCTCACACATTTTACTTTTAGATAATACCCATAGACAAATTGATAAAGGGTCGCTTCCAAGATAATTTTGAATTTTTACAATGGTTCAAAAAGTTCTTCGACGCCAATTACGATGGCAGAGATTATGATGCCAGCGCTGTACGCGAAGGTGCACCGATGGGCTTCGGCTCCGGTGCTGCTAAATCTCTGCCAGGCACAAGCAGCGGCGGCGTCGCCAGCTCCTACAGGCGTGTGCCAACGGCGGCAGCGACACGACCAGCAGCAGCAACAACGACAGCCACAAAGCCCAGTAGGTTCTCTTGGTTTGGTTTAGAGTTTCGCCATCGACACCACACCTTTTATACCAATCCCATCAAAACCCGATCATAACCAGACATACACATCTATGTACAAATTTGTTCATCTAATCCATCTTATACAACTAACTATCTACTCATATTTAACTCTATAATTTAACAAAACTGAATGCACAAAATCTACAAAATGAAACACAACAAAGCGCCAAATTGAACGCCAGCTATTTGACGTGCTTCACGTTTGTTAAATAATTAATCTAGACCCATTTTCTTTAAGCTAACCGTGCATATAGAAGATATATATGATGGGTATAGACTAACCTCAATCTTTCCTCTTTTTTCTTATTTTTATTTTATTTATCCATTCCAAGCAGTCTCTAAGGTGCCCCCGCGCACGAACAATGCGACACCACCGAATAGAATGACGGTCGGCACCACGGGAGCCGTAAAGAAGAATGATTCGGCTGGTGCGCAATCGAATCATCAGATTGAAGAACTGTCCAGTCAGGTTCGTCCACAGGTAGAGGTAGTCAGCATCAACAGTATTCATTTTTGTTTGTTTGTTCATATCGCCTTCCAAAGGTTATGGATATGCGTTTAAATCTGGAGGGTCTGGAAAAGGAGCGTGACTTCTACTTCTCAAAGCTGCGCGACATTGAAATACTGTAAGTTGAGTATGTACAAATATTTACCTTTATTAACGTGTCGTAACTCTCCTCACAGTTGCCAGGAAGCCGATGAGGCAGAACCAGCTCAGTTAGTTCAAAAGATATTGGACATACTCTATGCAACTGAGGTAAGCGAGAGATTCATTCTAAATTCAACAACTTGCATAATCAATTTGTTTTGGCACCACAGGATGGCTTTGCGCCACCAGACGATGCACCACCAGAGGACGAAGAGTACTAAAGTATATAGTCAACAGCCCACGATTAATTGTTTGCTGCATACATATATCAAAACCGAACGGATTACTTTTAAGTCAAATTGCTGCGCTAAACTCTTAAACTGAAACTAAATTCAAAAACAACAACAACTATAACAACAGATGGAACCAATTAACCAACGAGAAACAATTCAAAACAAAGGAACTCCAATACACTCACACACACAAACAACATAGGAACAACACACTAAATAGAAATGTATTGTATAACAAATAATACGCATGGATATATATATAGATACATTACACATGTACATTAGCTATTAATAATTCATGCAAAACAATTTGACCTAGTAATTATGTAACTTAAACATTTACTAAATGGCGATAAGCAGCTTCCGATTGAACATGAATTATAAAATATATAACGCGTTAAAACTGCTCAATTTTGTTTAAGACAAAGCTGTGTTATGTTGCCAAGCATGCAATAACAGAACATTTTGAAGAAATAACTAAACAAATTCATGATCAGTCGGCTGCTGCTGTTGCTATTTAGTAAATTGAGCATAAGCATATTGCATCTAAATTGTTCGTTGTAGGTACCAAAAAGAAAAAAACACTAAACAGACAGACACAGAAACAAAAAATAAACAAAAGCGTAGCAAGGAGTAACTGGCAAGAAGAAATCGATGTAAAACACGAAATTGTTAAACAAAATATTTAAATTAAATTTATAACAATTTGTTTTTTACTAGCTTTTTCAGAGCAATGTGCGAATTTCTTTTTGAAAACATGAATTTATAAGTTTTAATTATCTTGTCATTGACTTTCGTTGTTTTTTGAGTGGTGTGTGTAGGAAACAAGGTTCGAAGTTGTAAAATGTGAGCTAGTTTATGCAGTTGAGATTGGCAATTTGAGTTTTTCAAAATTTTCTTTAACAATAACAATCATGTGTGCGCATGATATTATGAATATAGTAGTTATTAAGACAATTTTTGCTATCAACTCTTTTTTATTTCTATATTTATGTGTAAAAATCCGAACGTTAAAAATTTAAATAAAAAACAAAACAAGCAACTCTAATTTCGAAAAACACAACTTGATTTATTTTCTGTTTGTTTATCTTTAATTTAAATAACAAATGGGTTTGTATCAAATTTTCTTTGTATTGTTTTTGAGTTTTCCTGTGTGAAAACCTTTTTAATTTGACCACAAAATGCTGTAAATATTTTGTTAAAGCTTGTCGTATCATGGCTTAAATTAATATAAATATATATATCATACCACATATGCGTTACATATACAGGCACATACAATATATGTATGTAATTGGGCATTTATTAATGTATGTGTATAAACAATGTTCTATAAACTAGAATAAAACATGTGTTGCTTCTTGATTCGAAATGATGTTCATCGTATTTATCATTTTTAATATATATATGCTACAAAATGCATTCCATTTTAAACAAATTATTCAATTAATATTGTATAATTATTAATTATCTAACGGCTGACTGAATGTCCGGCTGCTTGTGGGTGCCATCGCAGAAGGGTCGGTGCGTGGTGTGTTTGCAGTTGCAGAGCCAATAGTCGCCTGTTTTCTCCACCTTGAACCGTATGGGCCTGTGGTGAGATAAAGCATTATTTGATAGCCTATTGTTGTATTTTGGTTGTTATTCACCTCAGCTTAATCTTGAGAAATTCATTTTTGTGCGTGCCATCGCACAGCGGCTGCGACTTGGACTTGCCGCACAGGCACCAGCTGTACGTTTTATCTGTGCAAGTTGCAACATGTGTTGTTGATTATGTAAACATATTTTTATTATATTACAATAGGTCTGTGTTAGCTGTTTAACTAACCTTTATCCAGATGCAGTTTAAATGGTCGCTTATCGAATACGGCGCCGTTTTCCTTTTGTAAATTCGCCGTTTGCTTATCCTCGAGCAAATTTTTGGGTATCGTTTTGGCTGTTGCAGCTGCATCGCCGCTTGATTTTGCGCTGGTGCTGTAGCAAATTTGCTGTGTAAGCAGCGTTGAGAGTTGGTAAGTTATAGAAATAAGAGTATTCGAGCTTAACTACCTTTAACAGCCAGGGCGCACGCAGTTTTTGTCTTAATATAATCGACATTTTTGTGAAGAATTCTTGGCAAGCAGCGTTAAAGTGAAAGGCTGATATAAACAGCTGTTCGCTGTCAAAGTGTGTACCCATTTAAGTTAAAGCAATAAATGGTCACTCTAAACAGTACGAGAATTGGTAAGCCGTAAAGCGTGGTATTTAAATACTAAAAATAATCAGAAGCTACAGACCAACCTGTTGATGCCCTGACTTTTTATGTTCATATTTGTTTTCAGCTCACTTTCATTATGAAGAATAATTAATGATTTTTCGTCTAGTAATATAACATAATTTTCTGCTTGCTAGCCTTCAAGGTCATTCGCCCCCTACCATTTATTTAATTTCACAATAAAATCCGTCAACTGATAAGACAGACACTTCAAATCCCGGCGACAAACATGACAGCATTTAGCAGATATGATTCCAATGCGCCGGGAATAGAAATAAGTCAACGTAACAATTGCATTAGTTGACTTGTACACTTTATCTCTAAACACAATCATTCAGGCTATATGTATATATATTTTTACACGCTCAAAATGAAACACATACTAGAAAATCTTGACAACCTTCTAATTTTGCTAGTCCCATTTACGTAAGATACCCAAGATAAGATGCGCAGCAGACTAGGCTTTTATCAAATGTGCCCATTTACAAGCTGATTAGCAAAAGTCTTCTTGCAATACAACCCTGTGTTTTGTGTGTTTTATTAAAATTACTAAGCCAGCTTATTTAAATGCTTAAATAAAGAAACGTAACTCTAGAATTGATCGTGAAATGGATAATATTTGTGACCCGACATGCCGCTAAAGGGCACTGTGCGCACGCCCGTGTGATATTTCTCCATGGCGGCCATATCCTCCTCCTGCAGCTCGAAATCGAATACATTAAAGTTCTCCGCAATGCGCGCCTTATTCGACGACTTTGGCAGCGGCACGACGCCAATCTGTATCAGATAACGCAAACAAATCTGTGCCGTGGTCCGGCCGTATTTCTTGGCCAGCTGTTGCGCACGTTCATCGTACAGAAATGGCGGCCAGTGACGCGCCGGCTGCGGCCGTGCCAGCGGGCAGTAGGCGCAGATGACGAGTCCATGTTGCTGGGCATGCTCGCGCAGCTGCTGCTGCTGGAAGGCCGGATGGCATTCCACCTGGTTGACCACGGGCTTGATGCGACAGTTTTGCAGGACGCGCAACGTTTGCGCCGCATTGAAATTGGACAGGCCAATGCTGCGGGTAAGTCCCAGATCCACAAGTTTCTCCATTTCACGCCATGTATCCAAATAATCGACATCGGTCAGCTCCAGTGTGCCATGCACATTGTTGTCGTTGTGAAACTTTTGGCCAATTGGCAAATGCATCAGATACAGATCTATATAGTCCAGACCCAGGTTGCTGAGACTCAATCTAAATGCACGCTCCACAATCTCCGGATCGTGGTGTATGCCACCCAGTTTGGTTGTCACAAACAGCTCCTCCCGCTTGATCACGCCCTCGGCTATTTTCTCGCGTATCGCCTTGCCCACCTCCTGTTCGTTCTCGTAGACGAACGCGGTGTCTATGTGTCTGTAGCCAATGTCGATGGCGTCACGTGTCGCCTGATAGGCTTCCGATTCGTATGATTTCCAGGTGCCCAGGCCCAGCACGGGCATCTCCCGGCCATTGTTAAGCTTGATTCTTGGCGCTACTTTTGTCATTTTGTTGTTAATGAATGACAAATTAAATATAAATATATTTTGATTGTTGACGCCTTCCTAATTTCGTGTGGATCGATGATAGCGCAATCAGTTCCAGCACGTCCAAGGTTTACTGAACAACTAGCGCGTCTTTCGGCCAGCCGGTTCTACTATTATATGATTCCGCAGCTGGTTTTGCAATTACATATAAAAAAGCCCGCATCTCTTTGATACCCTGTGTGCGTAAACCCATGCAAATGGGTATGACGAATGTATGCCAGGGCATGTAGCAGCTTTTAATATGCAATTGTCTGTCTATATATTTATGTACCTCTTAGGTATATATTCCACTTTATTAGTTGGTTTTTGGGACTGTATAAAATAAATTTGTCAAATTAGGCTTGTCTTATAAACAAAATGAAGCTGATATATAAATATTTGCGTGTGACAATTTGTCAAAAAAACGTAAAAAAAATACTTAAATAACATAATTAAATATTCCTGAAACTGAAGAATAATAAAAATAATAATTATTAAAATAATAACAATGATAATAATAGCCATAATAATAATAAAAAAAAAATATAGTAATAATTATAATAACAATAATAATAAAAATAATACAAAAAATATATTATTATAATAATAATAATAAAAAATTGCAATAATATTGTAATATTATAATAATTATATTCATAAAAATAATAATAACAATAATTATATAAAGTTAAGTTAATGTGTTGACTTTTATCGAACTTCGAACCTTGACTTGTCAAAATTTATTTGATGATATTTTGAGAGCATAAATACTGCCACATTTGGTACTTTTCCAGGGTATTTGCACGTCATCATCTCGAAAAGCTCTTCAGTTTTTTTCGTTGAGTCATGCGATGAACTCACAGCTGTCTCGGTTTTCCCACACGCACGAAAGCTTTCGCTCACGAGCTTTTTGTTGAGCGCGCTTTTATTTAAATTCAAAAATGTATATTCATTTTTTTTTCTGCTAACACATAAAATGTTTATTTGAATATTAGTTAAAGTTGAAAATGTTCGACATTCAAAGTTACAATTGTGTCCATATGCGCTTAGGTTGTTTGCAACATTTAAAGATTATTGTTAAAATATTTTTAGCTTTGCATAAATTGTTGTTGGTATTGTAATTGGTTAAAAAGATCTGCTCCTTGAATTTGATAAATATGCATTAATATGTATTTCTATGCTATTTCATTAAGATATTATTTGTTTGTTATAAATGTTTTTTTTATTCTTTTGCCTTGTTATTCGGCCAGCTAATTGTTCTTTATTGGTGTTGTATTCTTACTGTGAGCTCCGCTGAGCGTTTTTCTATTAAAACTAGTCTATTTTAAGTAAGTAATTATGATATAGTTAGTACTCTCTATATAGGTTGCCAAGCAGCCCATATTTATGTATATATATAGTATTAAGTAAAATTGTCAAGATTGTATTCGTTAGACATGGAAACATTGATTTGAACATTTAGTTAGATGGTTTTGAACATTTACTAATTTTTTTTACTGACTTCTTCACTGACTCTCCGCTTTAATTATTAGAGCTATTGTGTGAATATTAAGAGCCCGGTATGGTTAAACGGAGGTATATGCGTATAGCTATAGCTTGGATCTTCGTACCCGATTCATACAAATTTATGCAAAGTTCAAAAGGTTCAAATCAAGCAAATGTTTTACAAATATAAATAAAAGTTGTACAGATTCTTTTAAGATTGTCAAATCGAATCACAAGTTAAAATTTGAAATTTTTCTCTGTTTGTTGGTTTTATCAAGTATATATATGGTTGGCATATTATTATAATTATATTTCAAGATTTGCTACAAAATATGTATATGTATATATTATAGATTTATATCTAAATATTTGACACAAAACGTTTTTGGAAACATTTCTTACCTACGTAAGATTTAAATTTATGGGCAAGCATAAATGGTTGTATTCTATAAACCCGTTCCATTTAGACAATGCCTTGGTCTACGTCTAGTATAACATTTAATCTACATATTTAGAAGAGTTTTCATTTGGGAAAATTAACAATTTTCTTAATTTTGTTTTAGAAATTTTAAATGGACAGCATATTCTCCTTTTAGGTTTTTGTTTTGTGTGGTATATAAAGTAATTAAAGGCTTTAACTTTCGTACATTCCGTTCGCTTTGTTTAAAAAATTGGTGTCATTTGCGTTGTTTGTCAATCAATTCAGAATTGATTCTGTATTTAATAAATTAAACAATCGTTGCATACTAAGTATACTTTTCATATATATAAAAAAAAGTTCCATTCAAAAAATTCGTACAACTGATTTTTTTTTTTCGGGAGAAACCTCTGAACTCGTATCTTGTGGGTTATTGTGCATAAATTGTTGAGAATTGAAATAGTTAAATAAATGATACATACATACATATAATCTACATTGTAGGGTCGGTTAGTTAGGGTAAAGTCGCCTACGTAGTGGTTCTTGTCTAAGTGGTATATCGTTGTTTGAGAGACCTTCTTGGGAGAGGAGTTGGTTTATTTCGATACTCTAAGTAACTACACTGGCTTACTAAGTTTAACTACATTTATATGTATATATATTTATATATCAAGCACTGCCTTCTAAGAGACCCCTGCAGAGCAGTTGAGAACTTTAGTTGGGAATTGAGAAATTTATTAAGTTGGGCCTCAGAAAAGACACACACTTGACTTTGAGAACTTTAAGGTTGGTTCTCTTTTAAAGTAATTTCTATTCTATGTACATCTGAATATGAAGCCATTTTAATTATTTTTTTGTACACATTCTACAACTAATAAGGTCCCTCTCCAGTGTTTTTATTTGTAATATGCTTAAACTAAGCATATTTATATTTATTTGAATCCAACTTAAAGAAAACTAAACTCGTTTTTTTTTTTATACAAAATAAAACAAATGATAATAACTGACTATAAATATATGTGTGTGTGTTTGTATTTTATTTATGAATGTTGCATAAATTAATTATGTTTATACATATGTGTGTATATAAAAGGAAAAGTAAAATTTAAATAAATGACTTAGCGCTACATAACTTATTTTTTTAATAACTAGCTTCAACTAGATTTGATAATGTTTATATATATATCTATATATATATGGTTTAGTCGCTTAGTTTTATGACATGCCAATTATTCGTTTTTTTGTTCTTATTAAAAAAATAGATTCCACTTGTGTATACCCTTTTCTTTTGAAGTGGTGCATAGCCTTGACTGGATATATAAATGATTATTTGTTTTATATTCTTTTTAGTAAAGTTGCAGGAAGTAGGTTTAGTACATTTGTTTTTGCTGCAGTTGCAGTTGCAGTTGCAGTTGCTGTTGTTGCTTCCTCTAAATGTTTAGTATCACACACGCCCA